GTGTTCTGTAAGTTATATTTTTGTTTTTATTCATTTCAAAGTTTTTTAATTTTCCCTTTGAATGTCCATGGGTTACTTAGGAGTATGTTGTTTAATTTCCACATATTTGTGAATTTTCCAAATTTCTGTGTATTAGTTTCTAATTTTATTCCATCATAGTCACAGAATATACTTTATAGTATTTACCTGAGCCCTTTTAAATTTATCAAGACTTGTTTTATGGCCTAATATATGATCTATTCTGGATAAAGTGCCAAGTGCACTTGAGGAAATTATGTATTCTTTTGTTGCTGGGTAGATGTTCTGTTGATATCTGTTGGGTTTATAGAGCTATTTAGTGTTTTCCTCCTTTGCTGATATCTAGGTGTCCTATTCACTTTTGAAATTAGGGTGCTGAAGTCTCCTACAACTATTGTTGAATTGTCTGTTTCTCTCTTTAAATCTTATATATATATATATACACACACATTATCTTCTTTCATCATTATAAAATGTTCTTCTGTTCCTCTAGTAACAACTTTTAGCTTAAAATCTATTTTGTCTGTCACTGTACATCCTGGCTCTCTCCTCTTCACATACGTTTTTTAGCAGATTCCCTAGGGATTATGATTGACATTTTAATTAATAATTGAATTTGGATTATTACAATATATATATATACACACACATTATCTTCTTTCATCATTATAAAATGTTCTTCTGTTCCTCTAGTAACAACTTTTAGCTTAAAATCTATTTTGTCTGTCACTGTACATCCTGGCTCTCTCCTCTTCACATACGTTTTTTAGCAGATTCCCTAGGGATTATGATTGACATTTTAATTAATAATTGAATTTGGATTATTACAAATTAATATATTTAATTAATATACAAAAATTAGGGGGAGCTGGGGATGTGGCTCAGTGGGGCCGTGCCTGTCTGACAAAAATTTTATTCCTACATAGGTCTATTTCCACCTCATTTTTGCTGTTATTGTCACAAATTAAATCTTTGTACATTGTTATTGTCAACAGTTTTTTTTTTCCATCTGGACAACATAGATTTAGAGTTATTGCTTTAAGCAATTGTCTTTTAAAGCAAATAGAGAAAAAGGAAATTAAAGCAGAAACATAAAATGAAATCATAAAATTGAAAAATCTATATTTCATAATATGAATTTGGTCTATTATTTTTCCATATAAGCCTGAAAGGACTCCCTTTAGTATTTCTTTTTTTTTTTTTTTTTTTGGTACCAGGATCGAACTCGGGTCCTTGTGCTTGCAAGGCAGGTGGTGGAACCACTGAGCTAAATTCCCAGCCCTCCTTTAGTATTTCTTATATGATAGAACAAATCCATGTCTACTAACAACAGACTTTCTCCATTTTTACTTATCTAAGAATGTCTTAAATTTTCTCCATTTTTTAAGGATGATTTTGCTGGCTATAGACTCTGGGGCTGGGTGTTTTTCTTCTAACAGTTTGAGCATGTCACCCAATCTCCTGGCCTGTGTGGTGTCTGAGACGTCAGCTGTTGATCTCATTGAGGCTCTTTTATGTGTCATAAGTTGCTTCTCTCTTGTTGCTTTCAAGATTCTCTGTGTTTTGACTTCAACAATTTGATTAATAAGTAGCTGTGGATCTCTTGGAGTTTCTCTTATTTGGAGTTAGGTGAGTTTCTTGGATATGTAAATTAATGTCTTCCATCACATTTGAGACCTTTTGGGTCATCATTTCTTCTACTAGTCTTCCTGCCACCACTGTCTCTCTCCCTCCCCCCGCCTCCCTGCTTCTGGGACTCCTGTTATGAGTAGGTCATTGGTGCCTCACAGATATCTAAGGCTCTATTCATTTTTATTCATATTATTATTCTTTCCCTTTCTCATACTGGATAATCTTAGTGTTTTGTCATTCTGAATCCATAGCACAGGTGACCTCAAAAGTTGCAGAATGGGAATCCACCTGGGAGTGCCCCAAACTATCTCAAAATGGGGCCAGTTGGGATTCCAAAAAGAAAAAAGAAAAGAAAGAAACACTAAACATCAGGGTGACCTATTTGTAGCACTTATTAGGAGAACCACATAGAATACTGCAGTTTATCCTTACAATAGTATGCAACAAAAAAGGATGTTCTACACCTAGGGGTATTGTTATGGCTTGGATCTGCATGTGCCCCCAAAGTCTCATGTGCTCATAGATGGGGTTGTTTTGGGAGCTATATGGATTTAGGGTGGTGCGATACTGGGATTAAGGGTGAGTGGTAATAAATTAGCCCACTGATTGGTTCACCCAAAAGGCTGGTAGCCTGTATAGAATAAAAAGGAAAAGGATTCTTGCTGCTTGCTGCTCACTGCCTTCTGCTTGCCACATTATGTATTGTTTCTTCTCTGCAATGCCCCTTTACCCTGCTACTCTGCTTTGGAACCAGTAGACTATGGACTGAAACCTCTACAAACTGTGAGGTGACATAAACCTTTCCTTCTTTTTTTGTGGGGGGTACCAGGTATTGAACTCAGGACCTCATGCTTGCCAGACAGGTGTGATATCACTGAGTTATACCCCCAGCCTAAAACCTTTTCTTCTTTAACTCTGAGTGTTGGGTATTTTATCTCAGCAACAAAAAAGTAAGACAGGTGTCCTTGGAAAGGGGGATAGGGTTTGCATTTACATGAAAGTTTAAGGAATTTGGCTCAGGACCAGGACTGTTTCTTTCAGTGTCAGTACCTGAGTATGTCAAGGCCCCAGTTTGTGCTCAAGCCTGCTAGGAAATACCTGCTGCCTGGTCACCGAACAGTCAAGGCTCTGATTTTAAATTGAGACATAAAAAGAAAGTAGAGCCGGGGATGTAACTCAGTGATGCCATGCCTGCACAAGGTCCTGAGTTCAATTCCAGGTACTGGAGGTATGGGGTGGGGGAGTAACACTCAGTTGACCTTCATCCACGTTCAAGGCTTTCTTCTGTCCACTTAAATCTACTATTGAGTCCAAGTGAGGTTTTCACTTCAGGGGTTGTAATTTTCAACTCTAGAGCTTCCACTTGGTTCCTCTAAAATTTTTATTGTGTTAAAATGTACACAATATAATTACTATTTTAATAATTTTCATGCACACAGTTCATTGACATACATTTACCCACTCACCACCACTCTCGATCTCGTATTTTATTTTATTGGTGATATTGTGGATTAATGCAAGGCCTTCACAGTGAGCTATACTCCTAGCCCTTTTTTATTTTTTAGGCAGAGTCTTGCTAAGTCATTAAGTTACCTACACTGGGCTGGAATTTGTGATCCTCCTGCCTCAACCTCCCAGTGTGCTGAGATTATAGGTGTGTGCCACTATGATTGGCTTTGAAGAATTTTTTAAATCTTCCCAAACTCAAACTGTGCAACCATTAAACACCAACTCCCCACTTGTGTCCAGCCCTAGAAACCCCTTCTACTTTCTGTCTTTATGGATTTGACCATTCTAGTCCCCTCATGTAAGTGAAAGAGTGCAGTATTTGTTCTCTTATAACTGCCTTGTTTCACTTGCCATGTCTTTAATATTCATCCATGTTGTATTATGTGTCAGAATGTCATCCTTTCTTTCTTTTTTTTCTTTTCTTTTTCCTTTTTTTTTTCTGTACAAAAAGAATTGAATCCAAGGTCTCATGTATGCTAGGCAAGCATTCTACCACTGAGCTACATCCCCACTCCTCTCACCCCCTGCTTTTTTTTGCAGAGTGGCCTTGAACGTGCAATCCTCCTGCCTCAGGGTCCTGATAACCATGCCCAGCTATCAATCTTTTTAAGAGCTGAGTAATGTTCTGTCGTATGTATATATTGCATTCCATTTATCCATTCTTCTACAGTGGACCTCTGGGTTGTTTCCCATTTCTTTTTATAATTTCTGTCTGTCTCTCTCTTTTTGTGTGTGTTCCAGGGATAGAACTCTGGTCCTTGTGCTTTCAAGGCAGGCAGCAGCATCACTGAGCTAAATCCCCGGCATAATTTCTGTCTCTTCATGGATATTCTCCATAAAGGTGACATGATTTAACGAGATGTTGTTCTCATACTTCTCTCAGATCTTTAGGCACTGTTTCCCTTGGCTATTTCAATATATATGTAAAGTAGCTAAAGCTACTTTTAAAGTCCAATGTCTGGGCTCCTTGGGGACAGTTTCTATTGAACCACTTTTCTCCTGTGCATGAGCACACTCTTTTCTTTGCATGTCTTGAAACTTTTTGTTAAAACTTAGGTATTTTAAATAATATGATAACAGCACAGTCTTTTGCTGCTGCCATGGAGTACAGCCCTCTTGCTAGTGCCCTGCCAGTGTGGCCAGTGACCCATCTGTCTCCACCTTCTTCTCTGGGTTAGGGTTAGGGTACACAAACCCACCTGTGTTGGCTTCGATATGGCACCATGGACACTGCCACACTTGATGCCCACCCTCATTTGTCAGGTGTTTTTTTCCAGTCCAAAGAGGTTAAAATAAATAAATAAACCTATAATATAATGGGACTTAATTTTTAAAAACTCCAATTAGAGGAACCCATATTTATTAGGTTTCCTAAAATTTCTTTCCCATGACATGGTTTGGAGATAGAAATCAATGTTTGAGAAGGGTGAGTTTCCAGGCCACTGTTACCATTTGAGATACTCAGAGGGCGACCTCATTTAAGAGGCCCCTGATCAGCTGAGCATTCTAGCTTCATGGGCAAGTACTGTTGAGTTGACATCAGGCAACAAGGCCTCTGGTCCTGGGCCCCACTCTCCTTCAGGGATTGAGGTGGAGCCTCACAGATCAAACACAATACCCTCTTTCTTCTCTCAGAAAACAAGAGTAAAAAACAGAATTTGTTGGAACATGACTCTTTGACGCCACCTGCTGGAAATGTTTCAAAACAAATATTTTGCTGTTGGCATTGTTGACCATGAAGCCCTACAAAATTATAAGATTCTGAAAATAAGGAATTGTCTAAACTAAGGAAGATGTTGATGATGGGATGGTGCCCTTGAGGAGGAGGCTCTTGTACTTACCAGAGGGCTTGAAGTCATTGGTCCTCCCCACCCTGGTTCTGAGCCAGTCTCCAAGACAGGAGAGGGTCTGCAAATGCTACGTACTCCAGGGAAGTGGCGGGGGGGAGGGGTTGTCATGTCTCGGAGGGTTGGATCCATGCAGTCTCATCCTCAGTGAGGGGAAGCTGGGGGCAAGGAGAACACAGTCAGCAGCCCGGGCCAGCCATATCTGTACTGCCCAGTGGTCCACTATCTTCAGATCAGGCCTGAGAGTGGAGCCTAGTCTTGGGCATTCTGCAACCCTTGACCTCTAACCCCATGTGGCTTACAGACCTTTGGATTGTGATACAGTTGGGGCTTAGGGCCAGCAGTCTGTCACAGCTCTGCCCCACCATGGAGCCTGTGCTGACTACTGCCTGCCCACTTGGGGGATTTTGACTTTGCCCCCGAAGGCTCTGGAATGTGTTGGTGTTGATGACGTGACACCCATGGCGTTTGTGAATCAGCCTATGGGAGGGTCCATCTGTGTCCCCACAGTGCCTGAAATTCCCACCCTGTCATCCTTCAGAGAAATGTTCCTTATCTAAAAGTTTGGTTCCCCAGGGGTCCAGTTTGTACAAGAAACACAGGGTGAATGCTTCCTTCTTTTCCTTTGACTATTTAAATTTTTAAGTTGGTGTCTAGGATCTTTAAGGGTGAACAGTGTGCCCCTTCCTATAGAATACAATGGCACTCAGCCACCTCATCTTCCCAGTGTTTCTAATGTTCTGAAAGGACTCAACTAAGAAGCCTCATCTCTCCTAGGTGCAGGTCCTGGGCAACCCTCAAATCAGCAAGCAGGGACCTTAGTCAGGTGGGGCGGAGGGACACAAGCCATCCATATCCATCCAGTGGGGGAAAGAGTCCGGGGGCAGGAAAGCTAAGGTCCGGAAACCTGAGGCTACCACATGTGCTGGCCTGACCGTCCCCAGGTGACAGGAATGGTACAAGCACTGTCTCCAGAAGGTCTTGCCCCAAGACAAATTAGTCCAGTTTTGTGCAAGGGGATTGCCCTGGCATCGTCCCAGAACTGTGGACACATGTGACTCCATGAAGCCACCCCCATCCTGTTCTCCAAGCCAGTGACTCACAAGGCTACCATATGGCTCCAGGGGCTTCTGGAAGCTTCTAGGTACCACATGCTCTCAGATTGGGGTCAGCTGTTGGACAGTAAATTCTACTATCACCTGGAGCCTTCCCAGAACCAGGAAAATAAACACAGATGAAATAGCTTGGACACAGGGAGAAGACACATGTTCTGCCCTCTCAGGGACAAGCAGTTCCTACTTGCCAGCCTCTGCCCCGGACCTGCCTGGAATCGCAATTGCAAGCACTGGCAGGTCATAGAGGCAGCCAAACCACCTCCTACCCACCCTCCAGCCCAGCCCACGATTCTGTAAATGACCCCTTTGTTACTGTCCCCCAGCCTGTTTCCTGAGGGCAGACGCTCTGCGCTGCCAGACTTTAAAGGTCATGCTCATAGTTTCACATGAGTAGGCAAGTGCAGAGTCAAAATCTCTGCTCTCTCCTGAAAGAACGCCAGGCTTTAAAGTGTTCAGAGCGGATCCGCCTTCCGTTTTATATGCCACTGAGGCCTGAGACTTTACTCTGCCTTTGTCTCTCATCTAACCTCTGCTTATTCCCGTGTATGCACAGCTTACCTGTTGGAAGCGATCCAGGCACTGATGGTTCTCTCCAACTCTACTCCACATCAAGGAATGTGGCGAGCATGGGCACATCTTGTGCATGCCTGTGACCTATTTGGGAAAATGTCAGGTCATAGGGGCTGTTTTTAAATACTTTCTTCCCAGTAATTTCTTATCGTTTGTTCTCCCAACAAATAAATATAACATGGCCAAGTATACATTTTCATGGTATTCTCTCCATAAGCATAAACTAATAAAATTTTCAGAAGCACATTCATCTTACCTGCCATCTCCTTTTAAAAAAAAATCAATTCTTTTAATTTTCTACAATTTTTAACAATGGATTCTTAAAATGGAGTAACCTAAGATGACTTGAGGACAACGACATTATTAAAGTACAGATATATTTAACATACAGGGACCATACCACATTTTTTTGAAAGTCAATAAAATTCTAATTTCCTATACCTTGGAAGTTATCCAGAAGGCAAGACAGATATCAAAATTACTTGTGATCAGATTTGGCTAATTTACTCAGCCTATATAGCTCACAACAATACAGCAATGTCTGGGCAATAATGAATATCCAGGTGTGTTTGTTTCACCATAATTTATCTTGCTAATACTTTCAACTAATTATTCTTATTTAATGATTTCTCCATGAAGTGGAAATACATATAATAGTTATTTCTAATAAGAGCAAAAAGGATGATTACCTCCCCTACCCTCTAAAAAATTATTTTTAGAATTCTATTTCAAGTAATTCTTTATGTAATGTTTTGTAACCACATCTACTTTATAAAGGCCATTTAAAAGGCAAAAAAGAACATTAAATGTCCACAGGGTCATTACCAAAATAACCAAATGGATTTGAATTTACTTTTGCATGCTCTATGAGCTGCCTAAGTCCTGGGCTAAAAGTGCTACAGAGGGAGCAAGAGCTTGTGAACCATGCTCTGTTCCTGTGTGCAAATAAATAGTCCAGGTTCTCCAAAATACCATGGACTTTTGGTTTTAGGTCTGGAGCCTTCTTTAAACTTCAAAGGCAATTTAAAATTGCAGAATAAATACATGTAAACATTTTTTTGGATGAAGATGACTATTAGATTAATTTCCTAGGTGAGACATCACCAAGAAACCCAAAGCAAAGTGCCTGTAAGTACATGAACATGTGCCACCAGGAGCCCGTGAGGGCCAAGTGATGGAAGATGGTACATCTCAATGATTCAGATTACCCCACCATCCATGAGACGTGTGCACATCAGGACTGCTGAGACCCCACACTGTGATAATTCAGAAATCTAAATTTGACCCCAGAAAAATGCACCTCAAGAAAGGATTTGATGGTAGACAGTGCAAAGTGCAGTTGAATGGCAAAGGGCCACAAGTCTTTTATATATATATTCCCCCCCCCTCTAACACTACATAGGAGAAAGAAAATGGTGGAATGGTGATCGGTAGCAAAATTCAGCCTTTCCAAGATTCAGAATCCAGACACTGGAAAGTAACAACTTGTCAAAGAAAAAAAGGAGAAGCAGATCACCAGGCCCTGGGAAGGAAATGACAAAAAAATTAGAAGGTACAGAGAAGTTAAAAAACAATCCACAACACAGAGAAAAGGAAGGGTGGGGGAGAGGAGACAATCTGTACCCTCTCCCTGGCTCTTGTGGCCTGTGGGGAGTGGAACCTGGCTCCCAAGAAGCAAGGCAAGTACCTGGACCTGGAAGATCCTGAGGAAAAAGGCAGTGGAGTCCATGGCCTTTGTGAACTACAAAAACAGTGTGAGGTTTTGCTCCAAGGGGACTCCTTCTACATGGCAGGAAAAAGCCAGAGAGGGATTCAAGCAATGGCACCCACTATATCACCAGAGAATGCTTGATCAGATACCATTTTGGGAAGGGATTGAGTTTTTTTGTTTGTTTGTTTGTTTTGGTTTTTTGAGACAGGGTCTCACTATGTAGTTGAGACTGACTTGGAACTCACTATATAACCCAGGCTGGTCTTGAACTCACAGTGATCCTTCTGCCTCAGCTTCCCAAGTGCTGGGATTACAGGCATGCACCAAGGGATTACTTGTTTAAATTGAGGACTCAGTACAACTGAAAAGCAACGTCACTTCAGGACTCCCAGTGTACTCTCCCACAATGACTGGGTGAAAGGCAGCCATGGGAGACAGAGCTGTGGACAGGCAGCAGGCTAGAAAGTGATCCCCTGAGAAGTTTAAACTCAAGTCAGAAAGAACATGGGCCCTCACCCCTGTGGTGAGAAGTCAAGTCCAGCTTGAACTGTGTTCAAAACAGCTGGGTCTGGAAGTGCCTGCTACTACTGAGTACTTGAAGCCTTTCCCTGCTGCCTACATCTAGCACAGATCAGAGATGTGATTGCCTTTCCTATCTACCAGTGTGAGCAAAGACACACCTCAGTGTGTGGCCACAGCCTGGGGTAAACAGAGAGGACTCTAGATTGGGGGGTGCACCTCATAAACCTACAGACTGTAAGACTTGGTGGAGAAGACTAAGACTAGCTGCACTCCAAAACTGCAGGTTCTAGAAGGAAACCATTCATTCAAAAATACAGAGAAAGCTGGGGATTTAGCTCAGTGGTGCCACTGCCTGCCTCACAAGCGCAAGGACCCAAGTTCAATCCCCGGTAGAAAAAAAAAAATTTAAAAATTTCCTCTGTTTTTAGACTAAATTTTTTTCCTACTGTTTTCCCTTTAATTTTTTTTTCTCCCCTTTTCTTTTATCTTCCATTTTTCATTGTTTTTTCTGTTACCTTTATCTAATTCTATTAATATACTTTACTTCATAATAGGATCCTTTGTCTCATTTTTCTCTTCTCCTCATCTCCCATTGTTTAATTTTTCAAAATTTTCTTTTTGGGCCAGGGATGTAGCTCAGTGTCACAGTGCCTGCCTAGCAAGCATGAGGCCCTGAGTTCGATCCTGATACCAAAAAAGAAAAAAAAAGCTTAAAATTTTTTTTTCTTTTTGCATTCTCCCATTCCAAGCCCCCTATATCTTCAATAGTATTAACTATTCAGCTTTATCAATCTTTAGTTATTTGACTTTATTTTACTACTGTTGAAATATTATTTTCTTTCATTAGTGGATGTAGAGTTATCATATTTAGTAGATATTTGCTGTATGTCAGTATGTCTTAGGTTTGTCTTAGGATTTATATTATCACTGTAGATTTCTAAGGTGAAGGGTGGTACCTTTTTGGTTCTTATGGTATGTCAATACCCAGTTTGTCTTGGACAATTTAATTGCTTACTTATTTGATATTGCCAGGGTTGCATAGTTATTGCTATTAGTAGGTTTCCCTTGTATGCTAATACCCAGATTACCTTTGTGATACTAACAATACCATGGTCCATTCCCAGAGAACTGGATACTGGGCCAATTACTTTGCCCATATTAACAGGAATGATTGGGTCTTGGGCCAGAGGCAAA